AGATATATCTGTAAGAAAAAAAATGGTGTTTGTCTTTGATTGGTTCTGGCGCCGAAAGACTTTTTCTGCCCTTGGCACATCAACTTGTTTTGCGACCGGAACTGACCCTAGAACCAAGTCCAAACACGATGATAATTTTCTTGTCTTGTTTCTGTCTTGTTAATCTTGGCGCGACTGCCGCTTTGGGACTCTGCGAGAGTTAGCATATAGCGAAGAATGCAGCTGGAGAGGGATGGGGAAATTGGAGTTGACGGAAGAGTCAATCCAAGAAAGAGGATCATGTCTTTGAGATTTGGCCAATTTTGCAATGGACACGAGCAATAGAGAAGGGAGGGAAGAATGGGAAAAGAGAAAATAGAATGGAAAAAGGAAAAAGAAAGAAACAAACGTGAAAGAATAGCGAGCTGAGAGACGGTTAAGAAAGAAAGAAAGAAAGAAAGAAAGAAAGAAAGAAAGAAAGAAAGAAAGAAAAAAAGAAAAGAAAGAAAGGAAAGAAAGAAAGAAAATGGAAGTTAAAATCGAAAGAAGAAAGCAATAAACTAAATGAAAATATGAGAAAAAGCAAAGACAGAAAGAAAAAAGAAAGAAAGAAAAAAGAAAGAAAAAAGAAAGAAAGAAAGAAAGTGGAAATAAACATCGACGGGAGAAAGCAATAAACTAAATGAAAATATCAGGAAAAAACAAAGAAAAAAAGGAAGAAAGATCCGATGAAAGAAAGAAAAAAGAAAGTAAAGGTAAAATAGAAAGCGAAAGAAAAAGGCAAGAAACTAAATGAAAATATAAGAAAGAAAAAGAAAGAAACAAAGAAAGAAATGAAAATGTAAGAAAATCAAAAAGAAAAAGGGAAAATAAATTAAAATTTAAACAATTAAGAAAGAAAGAAAGAAAAGAAAGAAAGAAAGGGAAATAGAAAGCTAAGAAATAAAGCCATGAAAATGTAAGAAAGAAAGAAAGAAAGAAAGAAAGAAAGAAAGAAAGAAAAGAAGACAAGATAAACAAAGAAATGGGAAAAGTCAAACAATAATAAATGTAAAGAAAGAAAGAAAGAAACAAATAAAAAGAAAGAAAGGAAAAAGAAAGAACCAACAAATATATATATAAGAAAGAAATACGAAAATAAAAGTGAAAAACCATGAATCAAACATTAAAATATGATAAAAGCAAATAAATAAAGAATAAATCAACTTAAAATAAGTGAAAATAACAGTTAACATATATAATATACGAAAATCTATGAAAAAAAGATGGAGAAAAATAAAGAAATAAAGAAATGTAAATAAAAGAAAGAACAAAACGAAAAACGAAGACAGAAACTATAAAAGAGTAGAATTAATTAAGTGAATATAAATTCAAAATAAAAATGGAACAGAGAGAAAGCTCTATTGATTGTATAACGTTAATAATTCCAGCCGTGATGGACGTCAATAAGCAGTAAAAACATAACATGAATGTAATGACACCATGATTATGTGTAATGGCTTCGACTGATGATAGCAACAAACTGGAAGAAGTGGTAGCTTTGCAAACTAAAGAATACAAAGAAGAAAGGATTTATGAGGCATTCTTTGAACCAATTTTCTCGTCTTCTTTGACGTTACAAGAACAGTTTGTTTGCTGTAGACTCTGAGCTATCGTTCTGTCCTAATTTCTCAGATGTGTCATTGTCACGATGATACATTGGAACATCGCTTATTCGAACATCTATTATCCGAATTTCGAATTATCAGAACGAAATTTCAATTTACCGTGAATATTTAATCTTACGATTTTGCCCCGGAGTATAAAGTAAAGCTTTTTTATTTCTCTTTTTATAAACGGACAAGAGAAAACGATTGTCCGGCTTAATATCAGGCGGTCACTGTTGTAATAGTATTAAAACGAATACAAAGTAATTAAAATGGAGTATTTAAAAACAGCAAATTTCGAAGTGGTGTCTTCACTCGGGTTAGCGGTGCTGAAGCGGAGTCAGCAAATTGAATTCAATTTCCCGGCTTTTCCGCCTTTTTGCTTTGTCCTTTTCACTTTGTCTTTTACATTCATTCTTTTTCTTTCTTTCTTTCTGCAGTTAGTCAGTTAGTCTTCTTTCTTTCTTTCATTCATTCATTCATTCATTCATTATTTCTTTCATTCTTTCTTTCTTTCTGTAGTCAGTCTTCTTTGTTTTCATTCATTCATTCTTTTTTCTTTCTGTTGTCAGTCTTCTTTCTTTTCATTCCTTCTTTCTTTCATTCCTTCTTTCTTTCATTCTTTCTTTCTGTAGCCAGTCTTCTTTCTTATCCGTCATTCATTCATTCTTTCTATATTTCTTTCATTCTTTCTTTCTGTAGCCAGTCTTCTTTCTTTTGAGTCATTCATTCATTGTTTGTTTCTTTCTTTCTTTCTTTCTTTCTTTCTGTATTCAGTCTTCTTTCTTTTCAGTCATTCATTCATTCTTTCTTTCTTCTTTCTTTTCAGTCATTCATTCATTCTTTCTTTCTTTCGTTCTTTCTTTCTGTAGTCAGTCTTCTTTCTTTTCATTCATTCATTCATTCTTACTTTTTTCTTTCTGCATCAATCTTCTTTCTTTTCATTCATTCATTCTTTCTTTTTTCCCGTTGTCAGTCTTCTTTCTTTCTTTCTTTCTTTCTTTCTTTCTTTCTGTAGCCAGTCTTCTTTCTTTTCATTCATTCATTCATTCTTTCTTTTTTTTCCCCGTTGTCAGTCTTCTTTCTTTCTTTCTTTCTTTCTTTCTTTCTTTCTGTAGCCAGTCTTCTTTCTTTTCATTCATTCATTCATTCATTCATTCATTCATTCATTCTTTCTTTCTTTCTTTCTGTAGTCAGTGTACTTTCTATTCATTCTTTCTTTCTGTATTTAGTCTTCTTTCTTTTTGTTATATTCCATGCTAATAGGAATATGAAATGGACACAGAGGGTCGATAAATATTAACAAGCTTATTGTAGAAACCAGTACAACAAGCAAAGAAGTAATAGTCATGTGTACTGTCATCGCAAGTCAGTACAGTTGTGTGTGTGCTGATATCGGAAGGCCACTAGTTCTCGCAGATGCTAGCTCGACGCTATTTAGTAACTGCCCCACGCAGTCACATGTGGCACAAGGCCGAATTTAAAGTGGGGTTCCGAGCGCGTAGGCTCGGCCAAAAAATCCCTGTAGACCCCGCATAAACGGGATCGGGTCTGTCTATGTCCCCGGACGAAACTCTTCCCTTCGGCATAGCCTTGTCCGGGTTTCTCTCTGCCCGAAAGCAGAGAGTTCGTTAGCGCAGCTGGGAAAGATCCCCGCGCGACGCTGCTGTCCTAACGGATACTTATAGGTGGTTACCACCCATAGTGCCGCCACTCATGGAGGTGGCAGGTTATTCCATTACATCACTTTTCATTCTTTCTTTCTGGATTTATTCTTCTTTGTTTTCATTCATTCATTCTTTCTTTCTGTAGTTAGGGGCGCTATCCATTACTCCAACGTGATTTTTACTTTTCTAATATATATATATATATATATATATATATATATATAGAGAGAGAGAGAGAGAGAGAGAGATAGAATTTAGGCAAATCATTATAGCAACAGAATATATATATATATATATATATATATATATAAAAAGTGAATGTTGAAGTCAACACTTAGAGGTGACAGTCTGTTTCCTGCTAGACGCAATCGTCAGGCCACGAGTGCTGTTTATTTTTTCTCGCCTATTTATATATAGGCTCAGTGATGCATTGTGGGTAGTCTATTTTGGCGGTTATTTTGCCGGAAGTCGTTTATTTGTTTATTTGGGTTAAATTATTTTTTTGTCTTTATTTATTTTTTTATTTTTATTTTTTATTTAGTTTTGTTTTGGTTTGGGAAGATAATTAAAGCTATTCATTCAATTTTGGGGTTCGTTTTTGTAGTTTATTTTAACTATTATTTTGGCGGGAGCCCTTTTTAATTTGTTTATTACTTCATGTATTTATTTGGATTGATTATCTTCATTTGTTTTTTCTAACGGTTAATTTATCGGGATCGGTTTGTTAGTTTGTTTATTTATTTGGGTTAATTTGGATTAACTTATTTTACTTGTTTTTTTTTTATTATTTATTTATTAAACTGTATATTTTTATTTACTCTTTTCGGTTTTTGATTTTTAAGTAACGTAATAAAAACTGGCTAAAAAGACAAATAATGGAACAATATTTATTGATAAAACCAAATAAAACCATGACCACCTGACAAAAAAGTACATGTTACTCTAATAACCAGCTTTTCTTATTTCGGCACCTACTATAAATTTTTTTTAGCCAGTTTTAACCTGAAGATCCGTCTAGGTGAAACCTAGGTAGTTTTGCCTGGCTCCTTAATATATATATATATATATATATATATATATATATATATATATATATATATATATATATATATATATATATATCCATCAAATAAAAAAGAACTGTGTTTTTTGAGAAGCAAATCCTCTTTTATACATGCTTCGTTGACAACTATTGAAATGACAATGTGATGAAGCATTTTATGAATTTTTTCTTGTATTCCTACAAGTGATTTCTTTTGTGGACATAGAGTATGTAAGAACTGCCCAAATGACCTGTGGATCCGATCACTTTCGACTAATCTATTAACTATTATCAAGGATTTTTTTATGTTTAAATATATGAATATGTATTTTTTATATGTATATGTAGGGATGGGATTATTATTTCAATTTAAGAACACGGACAGCACGGTGTGGCAGTTTTCGTAACTGATATCATTGAGCGTTGGCTTCTTCATTTTTATTATTAACACTTATTATAATACATATATATATATATATATATATATATATATATATATATATATATATATATATATATATATATATATATATGCAGGATGTGTGTGTGTGTAACAATGCACGGCTGCAATTTTCGACGGATCTGCACCAAAATTTGCATGCACATGCTCCAAGTTAGTGGAAAGGCCAACACCGACTTTGCATTTCCTAACACCCGTTGATAGTGGAAATAATCGATCTTTTCATGCTTCTACGGCAGTTTTCATGTAGTTTGCGGCCATTTTCTACAGGCCAGAATGAGAGCCTATAGCTGGCTATCACGAATAGTCAGGAAGATTCTATTGGCCATCGTGTGAGCCAACAGCTGACTGACATGAATGTTAACTAAGATGCTAGCATGCAAAAAAAATCGATAGCTGCATTCGTCACAAGTGGGAAAAATTTAAATCTTCATGGCACTTTACTCCAATTGGCTCATTCGCTTGATTCCGCAGAACTGGGTTGGGTGTGGAAAAGTATTTGTTGTTAACATTCTTTTTTTCATTCGGTTTTTCCAGTTACGAGTTCATTTTTAAAGCTGATCGTTTTGTGTTCATTTTGTTTAGTTCTTTTTTCGTAACACATTTAATGTTTAGTATAGAGCTTAGAAAAAATGTCCAGTATGAGATAGGCAAGAAGTAAGGCATGTAGCAACATCAGCACGGCAAAGGGCACTCCTTTAAAGGCAAGGAAGGGCAAAAATGTTTTAAGTCAAGTGATAGCGATTGCTGTATGAGTCGTACGATTTTTGAATCAAACACAGGCAACGCCAGGCCATGCTGCTAGTATATATATATATATATATATATATATATATATATATATATATATATATATATATATATGTATGTATGTATGTATGTATGTATGTATCTAATGGTGGCGCCTTTTTAGTTTATTCACCTTTATTGTACAAACATAAATTACAACAGTTTTTTTTTTATTTGTAATTGTCACATAATAACAACAAGATTTGTGATGATTAATAAACTATTTAACCTGATTAATCAAAAATGAGACATCGGTAGCGTTGCAAAATGTATGAAATGTTTTTACCAAAGACTGGATAACTTAGATTAGAAAAGCAATCGATTCCAAACAGGAAATTAAAATTAAGAATTAATTCTAACTTATTGTTGGTTAAAATATAAATATTAATAATTTTACTCGGCAATTCAAGCGATAAAATAAACGATAAAAATTTGCAGTGATTGGAATCCTTCAATTTTTCTAAACAAGGTCGTCTGCAAGTGTCAGAAACTGTGGCATACTTTTTCGAGGGTCATCATAAAACTGGCAATACAAATTTTGATATTCCGGAGTATCTTTTTGAAAAAAAAAAAAAATCATCAGTGTAGGAAAAATACGGATATGCCACAAAAGCACAACCATCTTGTTTCTTTTCTTTGCTCACTTCCGGCTTTTGTAAACTTCCGGCTCTTTTGGCTTAGAATTTCTGACATGAAGCATTATAGCTCGGATAAGCTAAATCCTTCGAATCAGTTTGCCTTGTTTTTAATTTTTTTTTTTTTTTACATTGTACAATACCTTTTTAATGCCTTTTAATAATGCCCTTTTGAAACTATTTTCATACCTTTTAATGACTTTTTAAATTTTAATTTCTTTCTAATGCCATTTAAATACATTTTTAATATCTTTCAGAGCTTAATGCCTTTTTAATAACTTTTTAATGATGCCTTTTTTGTACAGTTTAATGCCCGTTTAATGCTTTTTAAATTTTAATTTCTTTCTAATGCCTTTTAAATACATTTTTAATATCTTTCAGAGGTTAATGCCCTTTTAATAACTTTTTAATGGCTTTTTACAATTTAATGCTTTTTTATACCTTTTTTGTACAGTTTAATGCCCGTTTAATGCTTTTTAATGCCTTTTTAATGACTTTTACAGTTTAATGTTTTTTAATAACTTGTATGTACTGTTTAAATGCCTTTTTAATACGTTTTTACTCTGTTTCGCTGGAATAATTTTCATGCAAAACGAATTGTGATTTACTTTTAAATGTAAGCCTTTCTTGCTCTCTTTGGTGGTTTAATCCTATCCATGACATTATCTTAAGTAATCAAGACAACATATGTATGAATTTCTGGATAAAGGAGTTATCGTTATTTATATTATTTACATGCGGACTATTCTCGTCGTCTTTGTTATTATTATTATCATTTGTGTATGTTATGTTACCTGCTTTGTATCCTGTAGATCCGGGTCTATGGTCCTTAACCCCTCTAGGAGAATTGTCACTTAATTGATAGCACTTTTCTTAGTATATGGGATGTTCCTATTAGGGCGATCTTCTGGGCAATGTTTTAATGTTAACTGGAACAATGTTAGTAAAATTGTCCATTCCTTTTCTCATGAGACCAGAGTTCCGATTACTATGGGTACAGCCTCAGTTTTCATTCCCCACATCCTATTATTATTAGTAGTAGCAGCAGGAGTAGTAGTATTACTTGAGCATGTCATGTTTCCTGCTTTGTATACTGTAGATCCGGGTCCAAACTGTGTTCCTTAAGCTATATAGGATAATTGTCATTTAATTGATAGCACTTTTCTTAGTATATGGGATGTTCCTAGTAGGGCGATCTTCTGGGCTAATTGTTTGTTGATGTTACCTGGGACACTATTAATAAAATTGTCCATTCCTTTTTCTCACGAGGCCCAGTGCTCCG